TAGGCCCAACCCCAACCCCAAACCCAACCCCAACCCCAACCTCAAACCCAAACCCAACCCCAACCCCAAACCCATCCCCAGATGTTACTCCCGAGAAAGACAACCCAGACGGACCCAAGGTCATAAAATCAAACAGATATCCCAAAGAATAGTCTTTTAAATCATGACGCCAATCCTCTTAAAATAAAACTCAGCCCCCAAAATACGACAAATTCTCTTCCTTTCTCTGACTGGTGCATCATATTGCAAACTGAAGTTACTGCACATATCTAATGTTAAAATTAATTCGTTCCCAAGATCTAGATCATCATTTCCCTTCATAAAATGAGGTAATTAAGTCTTGCAGAAGGGTTACTCCAGTAAATTACTTTCATCCTAGTGGGAGAGGTTAATAATAAAATAAAGTTAAATGAATTAGTATCCAATAAAGTTTAGTTTAACATGATAATAGTTAAAAAGTGTTCCGATAGAGAATATTCTGAAAAAGAAGGAGAGGAATGCGATAAGCTATTGACTATTGGTGGAAAGTAGGAAATTGCTGAATTTATGAAAATCAAATCTCTTAAGGGATATATCGGAGACTTCTTAGAAGACAAATCTTCAAATTATGCAATGATCTACTAGTAAGTATAATAGATATATTAATAATATTTTTTTTTACTATATTGGAGGTTTTGGAAAATTTACAAAGCTCACTTTAGCAAAAGTGCTTCCATTTACATATTTTTTACTCTGAACCAAAAAAACTGAACAGAATTCTGCAGCTTTCACTATAATCTTCAAATTGGATAACTTACTAATTCGTTTTAACTTTGATTAATTTAATTATGGGTCTATCAATTATAATAGCTAAAAAGAACAACCTAATGTTGTTAAAAAGAATTTTTAATATTTTATTGGTTTACAATTATCGGATCCTATTTATTAAGTATCAGAATATATATTTGATTGTTTTTAATAGTAATTATATGGTGTTACTTTTTTTAAATCTTTATTATTATCTACAACTTTACGGTTTTAAATTTTTATAGCTTCATTTAATAAGTACAACATCCCAATAATTTAAATATATTAATTTTTAATAAAAGTACAGTATTGTTTTTAATGATAATTTGATATCACCTTATATCAGCTTCTATTGTAACAATCTACGTCTTCATTCTTTCGATTGAGATTATTTGTCTTACGTTTTGTGACCTCCTAAAATTATTTCATATCTATATTAAATGCTTCGATAATAATAAATATTTCATATCTAATGTTATTCCCTTCTAATCGTAATTATTTACGTGATATTAATGAATAACAACCTTTTCTAAC